AGGTAGGAAGATAGATCTCCAACACTCGTGGAATTTCAAGGGGATTTAGGCACCTCACTCCTTTCAGCGCCTTTCAAAATCCCAGCCCAGTGCTGCGCTGGAGAGAAAACTGTTTTAACCTGTGTCCCAGTCTTGCTCCCAGTGACTTCATTGGAGCAGGACCAAGCCCCTCATCTCCAGCTGTACAAACCTGGCCCCTGATCCTGCAGGCTGACCTGGACCCTGTGTCTGTGTGGAGCCCGACTGAAGTCAGTGGGGAGCCCAGATAGGCACAGGAGTCTGCCCAGTGGGCAGGATCAGGACCTTGCAGCACTCCCTGGAAAGGCACCTTAACCTAACTGATTCTGTGACCCCTGCAAATGGCAAATGTTTCCGAGTCCGTCTGATCACCAGAGAAGCTGTTGGTATATTACACTCTCCCTTTAATTTCCAGTGTGTGTGGGCACTGGGTTTTGGCAACTGCGCACTAGTACTCTGCTTTTCTCGTATTAAATATGCTAGGAAGAGGCCTCCAGAATTCTGTGGCTCTGAGACAGTAAATGAAGGTCCAGCTCCAAAAATAAAATCATCCTCCAAAGAATTTGGGTTTTTTTCCTACAGAACACCCTGGAGATTAGATTACTTTCAAGGTGATGAGACCTTCAGGAACCCTCTAAAATACTGGCACAAGACATGGTCAAATCTAGGTGCCCCTCTGAAAACCAACAGCGCTGGACATGTTTACGGAAGGGAATTATAAAGATAATAAATCCTTCCTCTCAATAATTATTCATCTAATCATACACATGCTTCACAGTAACTTGCAAATGTCACGTGAGTGAGGGCATGATCCAAAGCCCATTGAAATCAATGGGAGTCTTTCCATTGACTTTGGTGGGCTGGGGATCAAGCCCTGGCTGTGGAGGTCTACAGGAAGCAATCGTAAGAGAGCTTTTTCAGAATAACCGGGAGTCCTCTTTTCCCCATAAAGAGATGTTACATGCCCATTGTTCAAGGACTAGCAACCCCAATTAGACAAAACACAGCCGAGGGCATTATCTTGACCAACCCTTATACCATCTTTGAAGAGCAAGGAAACAATCTGTATTTAACTATAGGCCAGACAAGCTCAACATCTTGATGTCAAAAGGGAGCCAGAAGATTTTTCATCAACATCTTCCGTTTGCTATTTAATCCTACTCAATCGTGTGTTTTGCTATAGCTCCTCACATGGCTCTTGGCTCACAACCGGGCTTGACGCACGTTTTTACTTCCTGCCCACCTTTTGGGGCGGTACGGACAGGAGGCAATATCTTTAATCTTTGTCCTGGGCAACGGAAAAGCTTTATCTACTCACACAGAACCTCTATTCCCTCAACAGGGAATAGAATATACCCAAGATTAAAGTAACTGGAGAACAAACCTTTGTCTAGAAGAGGTATTGGAATCTATGCTGATATAAATGCAGGGATGGTGAAGACAGCAAGATACTTGTTTGCTTGAGCTAAAAATCACTGTGCAACTCACACAGAGCAGAAATGCCACATGTGGTTTTGAGAGTGGTCATCGTCGCTCAATGAAGAGTGGATAGCACAAACCACCATTATTCCTAATGGGGTTATCTGCACAAGCCAACCAAAGCAAGACCCAAGCTTCTCAGCCACTGAGTCTACAAAAGACTTAGCAGAAAGGAAGAGACAGAAACAAGCCTGTGTCTAGGCAGCTTCTTGTTCCCTTTGTTCTCCAGATTGAACGCCAGTTAGGATGGAAACAGAAGGTGTTAAGCCTTCTGCTCATGTCCCATCTGAAGTTACAATTACGCGAGGGACAAACAGTTATTTGCCCAGCAAATCACCAGGACATAATAACTGGTTACCGGTGAAAAAGTAAAAGCAAGAACAGATTTACTCTGAAATCCTGTTTTCATGCCACCATCCTTTGGAATAATGAAGGGGAAAATAACTGCAGGTGGATGAGACTCCATAATATACCAGACCATAATGAGATCATGGATTTAAGGGGCCAAAGCAGCAGAGCAAATCTTTGCCTAGAGGATGACGGTACCAGAATCCCACAGCACATTTCTCAGGGGACTTTTTAACAGAGTGTGGCTCAGACTTTGAGGTCTGATGCTTTTAAGCCAATAGAACAGCTAATGTGATAGATGCAGCAGACTTTCATAGTTCGACATTTTAGTGATTTCAACTTGAAAATTAGATTTCTCATTAAAAAAAAGTAAGTTTACATGGTGACAGGAATTATTTTGGAAAACATGAACATTCCCCCCTCCCTGAACATAGTTCATACACTGGGAACTTTCAGAGCTTGTTGGAATTGTATCCTGGTGGCAAGAGATGACAAACTAGCAAGTCACCATTTAAATAATATAGAGCGTTGACTAATTATGAGGTCTTTGGTTTTGCCAGTTTAACGGCATGGGGATGCTTGTGAGAACTTTTCCTGGGTGAAGCCGACCACTACAAAATGCTGCGGTGGTCAACAGGATTTTGAGTTCGACACTTTATGTTAACTTTGGGGAAGGAAACTAAGAAAAGGGAAAACATCGTGGGCCAGATTTTGACTGTCATCTAGGCTGAGTATCATCTGAACTCCATGACTGGTTCCACTGACTTCAGTGAAGTAGGATACTATTCACCAGGAGAAGAGAGATCAGAAGTTAGGCCCAGATCTACAAAGGTATGTAGGCACCTAACTCCCATTGATTTCAATGGGAGTTAGGAGCCTAAATACCTATGAGGAGCTGAGCACTAGTCCTTAATTTATTTCCCCCATCATAGATAAGACAACAGAGGAGGAAGGATACTGCTGAGTCCCAGGCTTGTAAGGACACTGGACACATACTGGATATAAGTCAGAACCTCAGCCTACGCCTTTCATAATGTCAAGGCAAAACTCTGGCTCAGTTTTAACCCCTTTTGCACTTTGTAAAGCAGAATGACTTCAAAAATAGAACAAGCTTCTAAGATCTCAGAGGCACTGGCAGCTCTTTGAAGATAAAGTAGAACCACATGACCACACAGGAGAGGGAATGGATAAGGGCCCATCCAACGAGCAGGCCAAGAAAAGAACTTTGAAGGAAAGGAACGTCTACAACATGAAGGCAGGAGCAGTTGTCGAACAGACGGCTCCTTATGGATGGGAAAGTTGGACACAGGGGAAGACGAAGGATGGAGGCTCTGGAACGGTCACACTTGCTGAATCCTGACTAACGCAGACACCCACTAAGCGGAGACTGGGACAAAGCAGAGGAGGTGTGTCTGTTGCTGGACAAGAGCTCAAGAAGTTAAAGGGGCACTGTCAAGTAGCCCATGATCCAAAATTTGACCTATCTTAAAAATCAGTACCAGCCAGAAGGAAGTTCTCTCTTTCCTCTTAAATCCACTTTGTTGCTGAATTTTTTTTAGGCTACTTCCTAGTTTCACCAAACCCCAGCAAAAAGATAGATCATCCATCACGCTGCTCCTGCAGCAGCCTATCAGGACAGGTTTAGCCCTGTGTGGACACTGACAAGGCCAGGAGGTGGGGAGGATGGAAGTCACGTTTGCCTGTGCAGGATTCGAAAAGACGAGCAAGGTGGGGAGGAAAAGGCTCAGAATTCTGAGAAATGGAAGACACCGATCGGTAGGCAAAGACCAGTTTATTTCAGGAGCTTCTCTGTGGGTGTTTCAAATAAGAAAATTAAAGAAAAGAAAATTAAAACGAAAAAAGTAGTCAACGGTGCCCTTTAAAGACAGGCGACTGATGGTGTATCAAGCAGGGGGTAGGGCGCACATGGTGGAAAGAATGAGCAGAGGGAGAAAGGTGAGTGATGAGATGGAGGCTGGGATGCAGTAGGAAGCCCCTGTCCTATGCAAATTTGCATGTTGTAACTGAAAACAGACCTAGACCTCTTTCTATGCAGCTTCCGTAGCACCCTGTATGGATGGTACATCAAGTTCCTTTCCCTGGTGAAACTGTTTCTCAGGGCCAGGCCATTTTAACAAGGTGATGTTAAGCATAAAGGGAGGCCGAGGCTGGATTTGAACATGATGGGAGTCAGGTTACCGGAGCTACCAGGCTGTCCCATCTACACGACAGAGACTACAATGCTGGGGTACCCAGTTACAACACAGCAGGGAGTCACGTTTATGCTGTGCTTGTGCAGATGGGACCATGTTCTAACAGGTGTGACTGACGCAGGCTACTGCCTGATCTGGCAAACGCTTTAGTTCTAGGTACACAGGCAAGTCTGAAGCATATTTTAACTGTGTGGAGGGAACTAGCATATTGCAGGTGGGCCTCCAACACAGTGACAGTAGTGTCTGTTAGTCCTTAAATGAGGTCTCTCTTTTCCTCACCCCCATCAGGTGAGCCACCTGGAGGCTAAGAGGCAACAAATGCCCCTTGCTTATTTCAATTCCTTCCTGTAAAGTTCTTTGCTGGATCACAGGGCATCAGATGCCCATTTGCCCTCCCTCTTGAATGAGCTCACTGTGCTCTTACCACATCGATGCATTTCATACTCTAGCCTGGAAACTGGGGTTCATGATGGCTTTCAGCTCTGAGTTCATGCTTTATGGCCTACACACAGTCCTGGGCTGATATGAACTACAGCTAAACCCTAACAGAGCACCAAAGAGTGACCGTTTTCCTTGTGACCCCCAGAAGGTAGCTGCTCTTCCTGGAACAAAAGGCCAAGATGCTTCAGGGATGGGCCCAGGGTTAATACCTAGAGATAGAGCGATTGCCTCTGGGGAAGACTTACTGAAGACATCCCCAGGGACCCGTCCTCATCAGCTCCAAGGCCCTGAAAAACCAAGCAGGGCTGGCATGTATTCTTGGGAACATGCTCACAACTAGGAGGCTGGTAAGTAGGGAGTGGCAAAGGCCACAACACGTTAAAGGCATAGAGTCCATTTTAACATTCCACCTGCATATTTTTTCCCCTTAAGCAAATCCCTCAGTTGCCCACACAGTGCCCACCACTGCCCTAGATACACAGACCCACACATGGAAACAGATAATAAATACAGAGTTTATATACACACGCACACATACATAGCACCACTTCTATAAGGCGTCGAAGATACTAAATGTACATTACAGGGAGGTGCTTGTTATAAAGAGGTATTTATAATGAGCTTCCAAAGAGCCAGGAGACAAAACATACAGCAGATAGCCTTATATCAGAGGTAGCCTTACAACAGACAGCTTCAGTACCAAGGCGCTGGATAAAAACTATGCAAGGGGAGCTGGAGGCAGAGAGGAGGGCCAGAGAAAAGGAATGACAAAAGTAGAATTGGAGTCCTGCTGGAACTTTAAAAAGAAGCTTCAAGCATCCGGGTTTGTTAATTTCAAGCTCGAGCTCACTGGCTCGGAAACGCTGCCCGCCCAGTGCAGAGACACAGCTGGGATAAACACTTGACGACTGCGCAGGTGACGAGGTGGCTGCCGCGACAGGGATGGGCCCACCCGTCCGACAGAGATCTCTCCCTGAACCGAGGCGTCAGGAAACGCAAATGGCACCATTACCGCTAGCAGGAAGGAGATTTGATATGAGCAGGGGTTAGAGGGACGGAAGGAGCGGGGAGAAAACCCTGGTTCAGCCCACTAGCTGGTTCGATTCACTACCCAGATGGAGGTGCAGCTCAAGGCAGTGGCCGAGGAGGAAGTCAGAAGCACTCCAGGGAGCAGTCACGAAAGAGGAAGCATTGTGAGCGCTGCTGGTTCTGCCCGGGTGGAGGGGGGGGGCAAGGGGGGGCTCAGTGGTCCCCACAGAGAACTGTGAGGGTAGGGAGTCCACTGTGTTTAGGATTCACGAGAATAAGCCTCTTCCCTGCTCAGGAGGGCTGGGGCAGAGGACTGAAGTCACCCACTGTGTGTGTCCATATCAGGGGTGTTAGCCCCCCTGTCTGCACTAACTCCTTATCCTTTTCTAAATCCAGCTGAGATCTCCAGGCAGCCAGACTTTGAACTACAGTTGCAAAGGCCTCCCTTGATTAGGGCATCTCTTGAGAGACCCCACCCTGTATCACTTCCTTCTCAGCTGGGGCAGGGAAGGAGAAAGTGATTGCGCCTTTCCTGGCTCTGCCATTCATTCAGAGGCAGGGGGAGGGAAATGGGATACTAGCTAAAAGTGGCAGCCAGTCTCACCCTCTGCTGTGGTGCAGACACCACTTGGGGGATCAAGCGTCTAGTGTTTATCCAGGCCTCCGAAAGAGCTTGACATTGAGGGAAAGATGCTAGGCCCAGTGTGGAGTTTTCCTATCAATTTACGAGCTCCTGTCCCCCGTTAGCCCGGCTGCTTAAGCCCGTCCAGTAGTTGGAGGCAGGGGGTTCTAGCCCACCACTACACGTCAAGTGATTTTGTACAGCAGATTCACTCTCTTCCCCCCCCAACAGAAAACAAGCGAATGGCAGGAGACAGCACCAGGAAGGGCTCCGACCAGCCCCAGCATCCTCCACTGCGGGGGGGGGCACGCCCCATGGCTCCTTCCATACTGAATACTCTCCATACAATTCTTTTAAAACTTTTATTCAATAATATAGAATTCCTTTAATTATAATATAGAACTGTCCATCATGCCATATTTCCCCCTGCTGCCCCCTCCCTGCTGCGTCAAGTCTGGAGCCAGCTAGTTAATACGTTACGCTGGGGTTCAGGGGGGCAAAGGTCAGCATGGGGGGGAAGCAACATTAGCCAACAACCGGTTTGCATACCCTTCACATTTTCCATGCTTTCTGGGTCAGGAAGAGGTCAACAGGAAGTCAAAGGTGGAGGAACCTTTTACATTCAGAAGTAAGGTTTGTGTTTATAAACTGGTGGGTGCCATGGAGCCGGTGCGGTCTCTGGTCTCGTCACCTGCCACCGCAACGCCGTCCGGCCGCCAGCTCTGTACACACGCTGATAAGACGTTTGATTTGGTTCTTGTTCTGCTTATGGAAAATTGGGAGGAACAGCATCGGACCTAGGGAGAGATGGGAGGAGGGAAGTGAGCATCAGGCGCGAGCTGCAGTTGATGCCAATGCGTTGCCAGAACTTTTTCCTTCTTCAGCACCTAGTAGGCTGAGCACAGAGCCGAGGAGACAGAAGCACGTTCTAATCTTTCCCCCACAACGTACTCCCTACACAGGCATGGGCATGTCACAGAACCTATGTCTCTCAGTTTCCCTATCTGTAAAGTAGGATAATACTGCCCTAATTCCCAAGGATGGTGCAAGGCTTACGCGGTGCTTTGAAGATGTCAGCATTGTAGAAGTGCTAAATTATGATCGCGTGGAATGGCAAGTGAATCAAAATCTGTTTTTTCTACCTTGCCTCCCATACATATGGTTAGCAATGCCCCCCTTAGATAACATTTTTATTGGGGGCCAATAGGAGTCTCTCTGTGCCCCCAACACATTATCTCACCCCCACTCAGATGCCTTCATCACACCAAGCTTCCCTATGCACTACTTCGAACGTCCTCCCAGGCCCTGCTGATCTTGAGAGCAAAGCATCAAGCTCAGATTCTGAACTCCAGCCCTTCACATGGTGCTGTAGCACTGGGCCGGGTTGGTAGGCGGGGAATTTTCACTGTACCTTTGTGAGCTCACCCACCTCACTGCCATACCTGTGACAGATTCATGAGCAAACAAGAAGGGGTGTGGTCAGGGATCTCCCTTGCCCTTTCTTTCTGAAGACAAAGCGGTTTTCATCATCATAAGGAGAAGGAGATGTGAAATATTTACGAAACGGGGGAAGTGGCATTCCCGGCTCTGGGCACCTAAAACACTGACAGGCTCACAGAGAGACAGGGATCAAGCTGGAGCTGTGCGCACACACGTAATACTCACTGTACAGTACAGCAGCAAGGAATGGTAGGTCGCAAGGGTATTTCCATAATAACCATTTCAATCAGCTCTCTCATTTCCTTTTGGGCTGAAGCTTCTCACATTTGGTCTCAACGCCAGCTTTGAGGTGGTGGGACTGGGCTGAATTTGCAGGCTGACTGGGGCAAGTCACTTAACCGTTCTATACCCCACGGCTCCCCCTCTTTAAGATGGGAAACACGATATCTCTTCCTAACTTACTTTGGGTTTGGAAAGCATTGCTGAGATCTTCAGAGAAAAGGGCCAGCCAGAGGACAAGGTGTGTAGTGCATGTTGGTATGGCTGGGTCAGGGAAGAATGCGTGGAGGTCTCCACACCTATCAATGGGAGGTCTGACGTTGGGTCCTATGAGCCTGGTCCTCTCCCCCAGAGCCTTCCACCCCTTTTCCCTCTGCAGATTAAAAAAGGACTGCGGGTGAAGATTCTACATCCACACCCCATTAGTTACCAATGTAAAAGCCAGGAGTTGAGCAATGCAGATGGTCCCCACTGCTACAAGAAATGTAAACCCCTGCGTTTCCCAAACGTGCACATCGACATTCACTTAGCATTGGTTTAACAGGGTGGAATTTAATGCTAAATACAAAAAACTGGAGTTTATGCAACACTGAGGCTAAGAAGCCAACCAATCAGAAAAGTCAGGAAATTCCCAGTGTTAAGGTCCTACCCCAACACTAACATGACCTCATTGCCATCTATTGTTTTACGGTTATAGATCAGAGGTTCCCAACCTGTTTTTGCTGAGACCCCCTTTCAGAGATACCTGTCTCATGCGTGCCCCACTCTTTCTAAGCAAGGGGAGAGAGGATGCCTGGTACCCAAGGGGGCACTCACCACGTGGCTGTTGAGGAAGCCACTTGCTGCATGCATGGTCCAGCAGTCTTAGCTGCCGGGACACAGCTCCCTGCCCGTCTCGCTCCCAAACTGCGCAGGGGAAGTGAACAGGGTAGCGTTAAGGGCTGGGGTCAGCAGGGAAGCAGAAAGTTAGTACTGGCCCCCTGCCAGACAGAGCCCCCTGCTGACCCCAGGCCTTCAAGAGCAGCCACACCTGCTTCCCGTGCAGAGGCTCTGTCCAGCAGGGGAAGTGGATGGGACTCTACCCTGAGGCCACGCTGAAGGGCCAGTGTCAGCAGGGGGCTCTGTCTGACAGGGGGCCAGTACTCACAGGGTGCAGCCTTCAGCTCCCTGCTCAGACAGTCCCCATCAACCTCCCCAGAAGAGGAGGGTAACTGCCAGTAGGTGAGTGCTGCAGCTGTGTAATGCGGGAGCGAGACCGGCAGGGAGCTTGTTTCTGGCAGCTGAGATGTCTACACACAGCCCCATCCGCTTCCCCTGCCAGGCAGAGCCCACTCCTGCCCCCTGGTCCTTCAGCCCGGCCGCATCAGCTCCTCGTGCTCCCCAGATAAACCTCAACGTGCCCCACAATTTGAAAGCTTCTGGTATAAATCATGGATTCTCAGACCTGGGGTTGTGAACACATCAGGAAATCGCAACTGCTCTGCTGACTCCATATGTCTAAAAAGGGGGGTGGGTCCCAAACAGACAGAAGAGGGAGACAGAAAGTGGGGAGGCAGTGGGGGAGACACCATCCCAGAGTGAACACTGCTGAGAACTACTAGCATAGGTTAAAATAAACAGTCTATTGGAGGTTCATAATTAACAAGGAACCTTCACTTTTGAAATTTTCCAACTTCCTACTGCGTGAGTTCTTAATAGCGAACAATCCACCCACCTGCACTGAGAAGTGTGTGTGTACGTGTGTGTGTGTGTGTGTACATACGTACACATGCCGATTAAGAATTCAGGACACATCAAAGAGTGTGACACATTGGGTTTTCCAACCTGAACTCTCTCCCTGAAGGAGAGCTCTAGAAAACAACCCCGGTTTGAAGTTTCAGCGGTGAGGGTATGAACACAGTTCAGTTAAACCACAGCTGGTGCGATTCGGTCTCGGGGCTATAAAACTGCAGTGTAGATGTTCTGGCTGGAACCTGGGCTCTGAGACCCTCCCTCATCGGGGGTCCCAGAGCCCAGGCTCCAACCTAAATAACTACACTGTAATTTCAGAGCCCCGCAACCCGAGTCAGCTGACATGGGCCAGCCGCAGGTGTGTTTCTTTAACACTGTAGACATACCCCGAGAGTCTTGCAAGCCCAAAAGTTTATTCACTGGGCATAGGACACTTCCTTTGAACTCAACAGCCGCTAAAGTGATTTTGCAGAGACTTTCACAGAATTCCACCTTTGAGCTGAGAGCAAGCATGAGAAGTATCAGGCCAAAAGGAGCTCATGAGAGCAAGTTAAAGAGCCAGTTCTGATAAAAAGGAAATTGGAACAGAAGTTAGAACTCAATCCTAACTACAGGATGCAAAGCCTTCAGCTGCTCTTAGTTTCTGCACATCCCCATAGACTAGAAGACAACAGAAGTTCATACGTATAGATATTTATTGGTTTCAGTGAATTATACAAATGGATTTGACCTGCTATCAATGCCAATATAACTTTATTGGGATATGGAATGTAAACAGATGTTTCAAATAGAAACATTCCAACCTTATATTATAAAAAAAAAAATTAAATATTTGACAATGCCGGAGAAAGAAATTCTGTGTTTAGGTGCTGGTGGCAAAACACTATCTCCGGTTTCTAGGTTTAGGAGGTTTCTAGAACCGCTGGAGAAATTACACATAGAACAAATAAAGAAGCAACTGTGAGTTGTGGGGCTATAAAGCTATCAAGGGATCGGATGAAAAGCCACAAGAAAACCACCCCACCCCCCAACAGAATCTTAGCCCCAGAATTCAGCATCTGGCTGATTGTTAACACACTACATGGACCCAAGCTCTGGATCAGTAGCTTTAGTCACCCCAAAAGCACCACTCCCTTCCTGTTCCCACCACACCACTGCTTACTGATCCTCCCCCCTTGCTGTTCCCACTACTGCATCCCCAAGCTCTCCTACTGCATTTCCTCACAGCTTCCCCATTCTGCTCTTCATTCAATGGTGCTGGCCTGAAACACTCCAGATTCATACTCTGGAATTGTACTTCACCTGGCGTGAGCCATGAAACAGGTTACATGGCTGTATCTCTCTTATTACAGGATCAGCTTTCCTGAGGTCTGTGGGAAAGTATTTTGCCTGCTACAGAAAAAACCTCCTGCCTCTACATTCAGGACTTTCCATAACAGGCCTAACACATTTTCTGAATGCACCTGCGGGGGTGCTCACCTCTCTCTGAGCAACTTAGAAAGTGGCAGTTGGTTTTAATGATCCAAAGCAATCCTGAGACACTCTTCCTCCGCAACTGAAACCGAAATGAAAGGGCCAAACTCAGACCTGGAGCGAGCAGGTGTGACTCCCAGACCTCAGAGCTGGATCTGCTTCTACCCAGTCTGAATTTGGCCCCAGGCGTCCACAGTTCCAAAGGGCGTATTTATATAGATGCATGCTGTGGTCCACTGGCGGAATGGCAAGTTTGCTCCACCAGCGTGGTAGGAAAAGGCTAGATTGGGAAGGAAGAGCAGGCGCCATGGAAATGTGAACAAGAATCAGTCACCGTGAGCCCTGGGTATCTTGCAAACCATTTGCCCAGGGCTTTGGTACCACAGGTTGAGTTACATTATCCACAACCACCAGAGAGGAACAGAGGTGCTAGCCCCCCAGAGGTTAGATTTCTGCTGAGTATAAATGGGGGAGGGGTCTTGGTTATTCCCTTCACTGTGTGACTGAAGGTTTTGTTTTTATTTGTAAACATCTTGAGTTACCCGTTGTTTTCCAGCCTTCATCGCGCTGCTGTCAGGCCACTGGAGAGCACAGCATTTTCTGAGCTGGGCTGGGACTGCTCCTTCACCACTGGGTCTGCAAGAGAGACAAGGATCAGCCAGGGATGGGACGCAGTATTACAATGAGCAATATCAAAGCTTCACTTTCATGAAGGCTTAGGTTCTTCCAAGGAACGCCCCCCTCCAAGCAGCACAAGCTTCCATTAGACTTTGGAGAACCTGGAATTCCAGCCGTCAGTATGACAGCAAGATCCATAGGGAGGTAGTGAATGGAAGACTCACCTCCCACCTGATCAACAAACCCTTCTTTCCTTTTCAAACCCAGCCATGTGACTCCGACCCCAGGTCTTGCTCCCCCTGGGACTCACAGAAATATGGATGCTCCATGGCCTCTTTGGCAGTCAGTCTCTGTTGATGGTCATATCGCAGAAGTTTGTCCAGAAGGTCCAGGACTTCAGGACTGACCAGGTGTCTGTTCTCGCTATGGATGAAGTTCTCCCAGCGTTTTCGCGAATGCCTGTAGCAGAGGGATGTCTTTCATAGTACAGACCGATCTCTGAATGGCACAGCAGCTACCATCAGATCCTAGGAGGGTTCACCTACCACACCCATATGTGAATTTAGAGGGCAGTGTTGGAGCTAATTAGAGCTACCTATCAACGCCCTCTACATCCGGCATTTCACTAGTGACACCCAACATGGGCAGTGCCACTCAAGCCTTCTCCTTTACAACCCAGTGTCCTTGGCTTTTGGCAATGCTGGGCTCGAGTGAAGTGTTCTGTATCTCAGTGAGAGGGAGAGAACTGCACAGTAAGGCTAATTTAGAAGTGCTCTCTTTATGAGCAGCTTTACAGAGGCCTGTTGCTGTCAAGGGTTCCATTCGATAAAGAACAGGCATGAATTCCAAACAACTAGGGTGACAGCTAGGTTCTGTAGCCTGCAACGTGCAGGAGGTCAGACAAGATGATCAGGATGGCCCCTTCTGGGCTTAAAGTCTATGAGATACATACAAGGGCTTTAAAAGCACGCTCAGAGTGGTGAGAAGGTCTCTAGTTCGAAGCCAGCCTTGCAAATTTTTACTCGCCATCCCACACGAGGTTGGTAATTTCCCTTGACAGACCAGTAAGAGATAGTCATCAAGACTTGCAAAGCAATGCAGTTGATTCAGCCACCTGTCTCCCACTAATTTTAACTGGGAGATGGGTGATTAAATCCCTTACCCTGCTTCGAAAATATCAACCCGGGTTTCTCATTATTGTCATGGGAAAGGATGGGCAAGTAGATCCTGGGTCTGGGCTGGCAAATTTGTGACACAATTTTGCAAGCTGAGAGCATGAAGACAAAGCAATTTCTGGGATCTAAGGAAAGCACAGATAGCCATATGTGGGGTCAGAAAGGAATTTTTCCCCCAGGTCAGATTGAGAGTGGCCTGGGGGATTTTTCGCCTTCCTCTGCAGCGTGCGTTTGGGGGTCACTTGTCAGGATTTCCCTGCCATTGCAGGGGCCTAGGCACTGGTGCACCTTGGTCCCCCTACTAGTCTCCAGTGGGCTGTAATCCTTTGGTCTAATTTTGGTTGTTGGAGTTAGCATGCAGATGCTGCGTGGTCTGGGTGGCCTGTGGTATGCAGGAGATCGGACTAGATCATCTGATGGTCCTTCCTGGCCTTAAACTCTACGACTGACTCGTAGGGAACAATTCCCAGCATCTGTGGTAGGTTCCCCCCAACCAATTTCAGTCTTTTTACTGGCATCACGAGGAATGGCAGAGAACCGAATCTACTATGCAAATCTAGTGGCTTATTCAGTGCATAGACAGCCGGAGGATAGAAAAAAAACTACGTTTCATTAATAGCTAGATAAGAGGCAGACAAATGACACCGCAGCCCAGGAGACCTAAAGCAGCACTTGTGCTTTGGAGTCACTCTTGGGATGTATGTTTAAAGAAAAGAAACCAAAAGTCACGTTTTGCTTCTTGCCTCCCCTACTTACTGTCCCAGGATATCATTGAAGTGCGGATCCAGTTCTATGTGGTACTTCTTCAGATACCCATACAGTTCATCTGTGCCCAGAACCTTAGCAATGCGAACCAGCTGCAACAAAAGACAGATTTACAGAAGCAACAAGAGAATGGCAGGTCATTGACTTAAGAGACTGTCCCGACACCACTGTCCTGGATGGATGGATGGAAGGGCTGCTGCATCCATGGGTCCTCTTGCATTTGGTAACCACAAACAAGAGTGGGAAGTTAGTCTGTTAGCACCTGAGCAGCTAGAGATTAGAAGCTCAGTGTTGGGGAAATCCTGAGGTCCAAGGAAAGCCCCTTACTAACTTGTTTCTCCAGCACCACAACAATTTGTGCCACATATCATTGGGCCTTCCAGAAGGCGCATGCTTTCTGCTGTGCAAGTCTTGACACCTCAGTTCAATCAAATGCATAACAATGCCTACCAATCAGATGGTCCCAGCCCCAACCAAAGGAAAGAGGCAAACAAGAATTCCCCCTTTCAGAGTCAGACAGCATCTCCTCACCTGGTCATAGTTGTCCTGGCCATGGAAGAAGGGCTCCTTTCGGAAGATCATGCTGGCCAGCATGCAGCCTAAACTCCACATGTCTAAGCTATAGTCGTACATCTGAGGGGAGGAGAACAAAATCAAATGGAGGAAGGCCACACACACCTTAGACCCAAGCCCCAAAAGACCCCTAGTCAAAGGAGGCTCTCGGCTTTCCAACTTCATGACAAAGTTGCTCTAACATGGTAACCCCCAGGGGGCAAATGGACAAACCAAAAGTGGCCTGAGTGCAACCATAAGCAACACACTAAGTAGCCATTTGGATGCAGACTCTTACTTGGTAGTCCACAAGGAGCTCCGGTCCTTTGAAGTACCTCGAGGCCACGCGGACATTGTATTCCTGAGCTGGATGGTAGAACTCTGCCAAACCCCAGTCTATGAGCCGCAACTAAACACGCAATAGAGAGAAACACACAGAGTAGGAGCAAACAGGGTTCGTTGCCAAGTACAAACAAGTCAGGTGAAGCCAAGTCTGCCAAAGCTTTTTTTCAACTGTTTGGTGAAAGCCCGGAGCCCTTTGTGCAATGATGCTGTATCGCCTGGTCTCTGCTCATGCTGCCACCTCACTCGATTATTTGCAGGGCTTTGTGGAGTTACCAGGGCTCGGCGAAGTCTCTGCCCGGCAACCCTAATCAAATAATCTATTGCTGGGTGACTCATCGGTTACTAACGCCACCAGTCAAATAAAAAGACAGCTAACTGGATGCTAGGGAACAAGCAGGAACCAGCCGCATTAAACAAAAATCAAAAGCACAGCTGGGTGCGAAGGCAGCATCAATGCTAACAAGTGGGAAGAGCTACGAGAGAGTCACTGGCTAGAGCAGCCCTTTCGGGTGAGAAATGCAGACTGCACCACACTTGCACAGAGCTGCAGATGGCGTTATAACTGCCTGGGAGACTGTCAACCCCGGAGCTGTTGGCATCAGCTGGGAGACCGCTACCGTGGCTTAGCGGCTCAGGAGAAATGTGCAGGTGGGACGACTCTATGGCACCACTTGAACTGGCCAGATGGAGGGAAAGACCCCGAGATACCACTGTCCCTTTGGTATATGCAGCATCCACCCCAAATGAGAAAGGGGTAAATCAGCAGTTCACTGCCACATGCAGCCATGAAGTTAAGATGGCACTCCAGTGCTGGGTATCCGGTTTCTGACACAATGGGCAAGTACCCACTAAGGTATTTTATCCCATGGTTTGACCAGTGTGCGTCAAAAATGACAGAGGAGACACGTGAAAAAGAGGCCACGGTATTGCACATGGCGGGCCTGTGCAGATAAACCACAGGCTTTCACCTAGGAGATCAAGCCTGAGCACAGGTGAAAGGAGGTTATCCACTGACTTCATCCACACACACTTAGAAAAGTCATCTGAAACCTAAAATAGCTACAGAATTCAGAAGAGGACCCAGCGCTCAAGCCAGTGGAGTGAAGTTACTCGAGGGCTCTGAAAATACTGTGGTCTCGCATAATACCACACACACAGATGAGCCAGGGCTGGGGCAACAGCCCCTACTCTGAGCCTCTTGGCTTTTGGGGATTTAACTGGGGGAAGGGTCTTCTACTTAGTAGGTTTAAAAAATAATAAAAAAAACCCCAAAAGCTAGAGAACTGGTAGATCCCACAACCCCCCCACGCACCAATATCACCTATCCCCTAAGAAAGCAAAACTCTGTATTGAGACTATAACTTCACTGGATCCAACGACAGGAGAAGCTTATGTTCCCAGTGTATAAAATCCACGTCCTCTTCAGACAAGATAGGATGTCATAACAGAACACTCATAACAATCACACTGTCCAACAGAGGAACTTCTGCCCCTCTGACCTCCCACTTGTGCCCCGTTCCCCGCCCTCTATTTCTCTTACCCCCTGTCCCAAGCTTTCCAGGTGGTAGCAGTGACCCTTCTCTTCTAGCAAGGGTTGGAAACCACTCCCCAGATAAGCGGAGGAATTGGAGTAAATAGAAGCAATCCCCACACATTCTGGCCAAGTCAGAGCACTTTGCTTCTGTAGCGCTCAGAGAAAAGGCAGCAGAAGTAAAGGGTGCTAGCTCAGACTGACAATCCCCAGCAGACGTGTTGTACAAGTGATCTCGCTCGGGGAGAGAGAGTGGTCAGGGCTGGGAACAAGAAAGCCGCAGCCTAGCGTAAGGACATTGTGGTGGCAAAGTTTCAAGCTGCCCCGAACCCTCAATAACGCTGTGCCCCACTGCAGAAGTACCTTTTTCTGTTGGTGGTCTATCATGACGTTGTGGGGTTTGACATCCCTGTGCATGATCCCCATGCTGTGACAGTAATCCAGGGCCTGGCAGACAGACAATATACAGTCATGTTAGACAAACCAGTAAACACAGACCAAAGTCCATGATGTAGCACATGGTTCTCCAGCCAGTAAAGTAGGTGTGCCCGAATGGGGAGAGTACAGCACGTGAAGGACAATGAAGAACCACCACCCTTGTTTCGCTCACCATCCTGGTTGCGGCAGAAGAGACATGTTGCCGGTAGAGAAGGGGACTGTGCAGCTGCCATTCTACACTTGGTTCATTTGTCATACAAGGCTCCGACTCCTGGATCTGTGCTCCCAGCATGTACTTTAGAGCTCAAGAGCCAGTGAGATAGATGTCCCACAACCACAAGTGACTGTCCGTCATTTCCGCTGTCACTGCTGGCAGGAGAGGAACTCCCCAGGAATGCAGTGATTTCTACCATTTGCTCAATGTTTTAGGGCCTTTGAGGATGGCTTTTCTTCTGAGACTCCAGAATTTGCTTGGATCTACCAATAATTTCTAAACAAAGATCACACCTGTGCAAGGCGCATAATGACTTGAACACTATGGGACGAATGATGATGTAGTTCAAAGCACAAGGCAGGAAACACAAGCAGAGAGTGCACAGACATGAGTTTACTCTCAGCTCGAGGACCTTGGGCTAGCTGCGTCCCTGTGCAGCTGTTCTCTGTGTAATGAGCGAGAAGCATACAGCTTTTCTACCTCAAAGGGATGGTGGAGCTAAATCTATCAAGGTTTGTCAAGTGCTTGGAGATCCTCACATGGAAGGCTTTAGAAGAGGACGATGTATTCTCTGCCTTTGTTGCATTTGTGGAGCTGAATTCCTTATGCAGTTTGTCTAACCTGCCTTGTTCCTCTCCCTCATTTCTATAAAAATAGAAGCAGCCTGGAGCTTCATAGCATGCCTTGAGTTCAATCAGAAGGGGATTTCCCTCCCAGACAGGCACATAATTATTCCCTGAAAGGACTGGGAACACGGATGGGTAACCACAGCGTGGGGTGGCTAGGAGATCTATTCCAAGTGGTCATCTTGAGTCACTGGCCCCCCGGAGTGGACACTCCAGGGCTTGGACAGCCTTTTCCGACACTTCCAGACCCAAAGCCAGCCCAGGCGGCCTGGAAATGGCAGTTTTAATAATCCAGTTGCCCTGCTGGGAACCAATACAGACAACAGCGGCTGCCTTGGTGGAGATTCAACAGGAGAGTGCCCAGAACACAGCTTTGAGAACCGACGTGCTCTGCTAGCTCCTTCAGACTGAAGCTTGAGATCCCATAGAGACGGTTCAGCAGATCTCAAAGACCTGCCACATGATGGCCCACAAGCCTCAGGAGAGAAGGGGGGGAGGGTGGGGTGTCTAATAAAACTCAAAGGAGCATAAGGGCGCACACTGCTCCCTTGAGGATGTCATTCATCCCTTTTCTTCCCTCTCTGTCATTTGGAAGAAGTACCAGCCAAATAGGTGCCTTACTGTAAGTTTCTCGGTCTGGACTCAAAGGGCCTTAGTTACCCTAAGAGGTAAGTCGAAGGCCAGCAGAGCCATGAGGGTCTAAAGCCTCAGCCCCACCGACAGAAAAAACTTCAGGGGCTTTGAAAGATTTCAAAGCATTTAACGAGCCAGCTTGTTTCTGAACCACAGGCTCATTCAGGGGAAGGAAGATTTGAAGCCACCTACCTCCCACCCAACTCCCTAATGCCCTGGTGACTCTGGACAATTGGGGTTACCAAATCAAGTTCTGTAAAAGCTCAGGAAAATGCCCCTCTTGTGCATGCACTCAGGTTCTGCAGTATCAAGACAACACAGGGCTGGTGATCCAACCCCTCTGGCTTTGCATAATGCCAACCATGCCTAGCCCACCTACAGTATGAAAGACAACTAGAGAGCCCCAGTTCAGTTCTGAACTTCCCTCATTCTTCTCTCCTCCACGGGGGCTGGTTAGTTTGCTCTCCTCACATCAACCCTCCCAAATGGGCTCTGTTATGTGACAACAATTCTGCATTAACTACCAGAGAGGAAACAAGCCGAAGTGTCAGTTTGCCAGTGGGCTGCTCCAGGAATTCTGCCATTGCCTCAGAGACATTCATTCCCCCAGCCCGACTCCATGGCCTTTGATCGTTCTTCACGACCATCACTCACCTTGAGCAGCTCATACATATAAAACCGAATATCAAAGTCTGTCAGGATCTGGTACAGTTGCTGAAACAGATTGTGGGAGAGAAAGAGAAGGGCAAATAAATATTCAGATCTTGATTGTTTTAGTCTAAAACTGCACCTTTTAGTTCCTAACCCCCACTTCAAGTACTGAAGCCACTCTGCATCCTTTTCTAATGCCGGGAGCCAGCGTCTGAACTCAAAAGGAATGTCAGGTGTCAGTGTAGGGTTACTCTGGTTAATCGGATATGTACATGGAAATGAGGGCACAGATTCCGCAGTGGGGAATGTCGGCATCCTACAGACTCATCATTGCCCCTTTGCTTCCTCTAAACTGGATGATCCCCTATAACATCAGAAAGCAGATAGATGCTTAGGAGAATATTAGCTTTCACATTTCCTCTGCGTATCGAGACGATCTACACTGATCGAGAAGGCTGGAGTGGCAGTTGCTGCAAAGGGACAGAGACAGTAATATGGAAGGGAAAAGTAGTCCAGAGACTCCATCACAAGGTGGGAAAGAGATCACAGTACTGAGTTCATTACTGGCAGCGTAAGTGATCTACTGCGGTCTCACTCTTTCCTCTATGTTCCCATTGGGATTAGTAATCACGGCTACTGTAAAGCAGCAGGGGAAGCATTTAAGACCCAGGGTGCACTTAAAACCATAACTCATCAGCAATACCACTAATGTCTTTGTCACCCAGTCATGCCCAGCGTGAGCCACCCCTTGGGTCATGACTAGCACAGATTTAGCATTTCACTCTATATCCATCATCGGCACCTTCCTCAGCCCAACCCTGTTCCACTGCTCCTACCCCATGGGGTGAGTTCTTCCCTCCTTCCCAAGAGGCCCAGCATGGTGCTAGGAAACAGCAGCTGTGCGAAGCATGACATGCACATTGAGTTTTACAGAAAACACCAGGACTTAACCTTTTTTCCTTTTTAATAAACAAGCATCTCCTCAAAGCCCAGTCAAATTGTTTGATTTCATTAACTTCAAAGCCAGCTGCGGACTCAAGGCACTGCCTAGTAGTTTCAAGAAAACCGCAGCATGGTGATTTGAAGTTCACATTCAAAGGAAAGAGAGCAGACCCTGAATTCTCCTCAACGCTGGCGCGGTGTTAAATGCTGAAGAGTGAGGTAAACAAGTCACCGCCCATGCCTAAGGCACCCTCAGCAACACACCTCAACCGCCCAGCCTTCACCATCCCTGCTCCAGTAAGCTGCCTGCTCATCCAGCGACGTACAACACAGGTACAGCGCAGGACCTGGTTAGTGCCTCTTGGGGTGCAGACTAAATTCTGTTTTCGTGAGCTAGGGTGATCCTAACATTCAAGCGCAACTCAGTGGAGCAGGCACAAGTCAGCAAGGATGAGACTGTAAGATACAGCAATAAGCCACAGCAGGGTGTCTGTTCGGCTACTGGGGCTCACCGTCTGCTCTCCTCCAGCACACCAGCAGCCTCCTTCCGCATGCCCTGAAGCACATTATTGCTAGTGGAGCCCAGCTCTTTCATCTGAAAATTTATTTAGTTTTCAAACAAGCCATTTTGAAAAGTTGGGGGGGGGGATTATGAAATTAATCTTTCCACGAAAGACAGACCATAATTGTCTTCATTAACATACCACCCTTCATCTGCAGATTTCAGAAAGCTGGGACAGATTATTCTTCCCATTTTACAGATGGAAAATGAGAGACTAAGGGCCAGATCCTCAAAAATACCTAGGTAACTAACTCCCATTGGTTTCAATGGGAGCAAGGTACCTAAATGACATTTGGGGCTAAGCAACTCGCCAAAGTAGCACAGGGAGTCTATGTCAGATCAAGGGATAGACCCAAGTGCTCTCACTCCTTAGTCCCACTTCGGGCTGCCTTCTCCCAAGAGGAGAGAGAAGACAGTAGGAAAGAGATGATAAACTCTTTCCCCCTCTTAGCCTGATGAAGGTATTCTAATTATTGTCCCTCCCAGCCCTCTCCCCATACCGTTCCCCTGAAGCTAGGCTGCCTTTTCAGCTGAGGTTTGTTGCCCAACAGCCTCTTTCAACACCCTTCCTTGTGCAAACGGAACATGAAATACAGAACAGTTCCCTACGTTTTAACAAGAGAAAGTCAGAGGAGTTGCTGGAGGAGCTCACGCTACTGCTCAATGGACTCCTTAGCACAAGGGTGGAATGGGGTATTTTAAGACTCTCTTCCTGAGCCTTCCTCTCTCAAGCTGCCTTGTACCATTTTACGCCCACTGATTGTTTCTACCACCCTTTTAACCTGCTAAGCACAGGGCCTTTTAAAGCCAGAGCCAAGGTCTCCAAAGCATGGTGCACCAATAAGAATATAGGTTGGGAAATCTGGGTCCACGGAGAGAGAAATAAAATGAACATCCTCCCAGCAGGGTTCCAGGCTCTCTTTATTTAAACTATTTACAGAGCACTGGCAGGTCCCTTTCTCACCAAGTTCTCTCTCCAGAGTTTCCTTCTCATGCTCTGTTCTCAGTGTGGTTTTAGTCCGAAGAGTGACACAAACATCACTGTGAGGCTCTGTATCTCGGTGCTTTCTGTTAACATCTGCTCTGTTAACTGCCAGCCCTTCAAACTGAAGGTGGGCTCTGCTCTGCCAGTCAAACTGGTCTCTTTCCTTCTCGCACATCAGCACCAGCAACAAAGGCTCCACAAGCCCATCAGGCCTTCAGTGACACCTGTACAGCCCTCGAGGGCTTTCAGTGGGTTTGTACAGATGGAATTGATTGTCCTTGAACAATTCTGTTGATGCCCAAGAGGGAACCAGCTCCCCCTCCCTCTCTGAGCCAAGTTGGTCCCTGCAGGGCTAAGAGGAGTTAATCAGTGAACACTTTTTCTCACTACAGCGAGCTAATCTGCCTGCCTACGCAGGGGGCATGGATTTCTGGAATAAGGCGCTATACTTTTTAGGACTTTTCAACATAGTACTGCATTTAAGGGGTGTTGCTTGGAGGTGTAAAGCATTCCAGTGGGATCACTTGAAAAAACATTTGCCTGTTGGCTGCTGGTGTTTATAGCTAAGCTAAGAAACAGTTTTATTTCATGCCTTTATATCCCATTTATGCGTTGCAAATGTAGTGGGAAACTATATTTATCCTCAATATGCATAAGCTCGTGCGGGAAGGTGCAGGGAAGCTGTCACTCAAGAGGTGAAAAATAGAACTAAAGGGAATCCCAGGACACAGGAGTCCTAGCAGCCTGCCTGCATCACCCCATACACCGAGAAAGAGGAGGGACCAGCTAACCCATCTTCATATTCTATGGTCATCTTCACCCTGGGTAGAGATATAATCCCAATTGCTCCAAAAGTTATCTGGATAGAGCTCCTTCACTTTCTTCGACTCTGCCCCATACAGCCTAGATCTCCCTTCCTGATCTGCCGTGCACCTCTGCCATTTCTCCTTCTCAAACACCTCTTCTAAACAGCCTATAAACTCTACTCCTGAGTGTCAAAGTGGGCTCTACTAAAAATAAGATAGCACAACCTGTGCAGGGCTGCTCGAAAGACTCCATCTTTCTCTTTGAGGCAAGAGCCATTATCTTGCAGACCTATGAAGTACCACACATTTCTGGTAGTACACAAATATGCATCATTAGAAGGTTGTTGGGGGAGAAGGGAGGAGTTTGGGACCATAGAGGTGCGTCAGCTGTTTTAACTTCCAACTGGAAGCAGAAAGACAATGGGCACTTTGTGCCTCTACCTAATACCCATTTGCCTGACTTTCATTTGGTCTGAAGTCACAATTTAAAGGCAATCATTTGTGGGTAGCTTGTGATCTCAAAGATAACCATGAGTATAAACAGAATTTAAGAGAAATATTGGCCACTCATTAAGTAGAGACATTCCGTTTCACGTGAGAAAATAATTTTAAGTATGATTTTTCAAACTCTGGCTCATCAAGCCCACAGGTATACAATTAAGCAGTTTAAGATTATAATTTGACCAATTTAAAAGGTAAGGTATTCATCTACTTAAGGTATTTCTAGGGCCACCTATCACCACAGAATCCAAATATTATCGTTTTAAAATATTTAAATTCCTTTGATTCTAAAGTTTGAGTCACTAAATCTGGGAACTCCAGTAGCTTTAGTTTAGGTAGGTCCTACAATGTTTTAGGCTCCTCTCTTGCAAAGACAGACCACGAGGCAGCTGAGGGAGTCCAAGCAGCACTACTCTCAGGGTTATGCAGATACCACTAGCGATGCTTCTGCTCCAAAGAAAGTGACATTAACCAAGTAGAGTAACAAGCAATTAACATTAAGCAAAAATGTAATTTCACTGAAAGCACGAGGGAAAGCATTTGCCAGAAAAGAAGATCAATACGGACATATTACAAATGAGAGCGAGAGAAAGATAAAAATGTAATACTGTAAAATATTTGGCAGTGGCCCATCATGGTCAAAACAGTCACTTGGAACTAGCTTGAGAACCCTCCGCTCATGCTCTGACAATTTTTTCTGACACACACACACAAGGTTGTCACACTGCCATTGGGTGTACAAGTTATTATAGCAATCACAAGTTCAAGCATTTAGCATATGGACCAATGCCACCGAAATGAGTAAGAGGACAATTCCCTACCACTCGAATTAGAAACACGGACCATTGAAAGAAAGAAGGAAAAAACTGAAACAAGAAGGAAAGCTTCCAGTTTCAGTCTCCAGACATCTTATTAATAAGGTTCAAGGAGAGCCAGTGAGAACTGACATGAGGATTCTTGGACCTGTTTTCACTCAATCCTCCAAGCACCTCGCTCCTGTCTTAGTACAGAGACAGATTTTGGGGCTTTATTTTAAAACGAGAGATCCTCTTGTGTATTTTTGCACATGCATTGGCTAGATAGGCACTCAGTCATCTGTGCATGTAAATACATGAACCTGCAAACTCAAAAAATGTAGGTCCTAAACAAGGCAACTGAGGTTTAGGCTACAAATATACTACTCTTTCCTAGCCAGGCTGACTGTCTCATGGTGTAGACAGGATTTTCATATTTTCAGTTTCAAGCAAAGTTTTCCAGTTCTGTCTCATATCAATCAGCAGAAGTCAGAGAGTAAAGAATCTTTAAAACTTGGACTCATTTGTGTCTTGATGATCCTCAAGGCTCAGGCTTTTATATTTACTTTTAATGATTCATTTTAAAACAATTTAATTTCTTCTGATGCAATGGCCACAACTCAGCAATCCAACTTCTGATGTCTTGTTCAGATACGAACAACATGGATAACAGTGCACAACTTAGCTTGCAATCAGTGGGGAAAATAAAACAAGCAACTATTCCTGTTCTTGGTGGGAATGACAGTTTGCTAGGAATGTGGCACAGAATCCATACCAAACCATCAGGAGAGACCATTTAAGTCCCCTGCTACTGTATCCACTGACCATTATACCCAGATATCTTTATGTTTAGAACAGTATTTAGGAGACAGCATTATCTGGTAAGAACTGGGTAGGTTTTCATAGAATACAGCATCATAGGACTGGAAGGGTCCTCAGGAGGTCTTCTAGTCCAGTCCCCTGCATTCAAGGAAGGACTAAGTATTATCTAGACCATCCCTGATGGGTGTTTGTCTTGAGTTGTTATATCTAATATCTCCCTGGATGCTACACCAGCTGGGGAACTGAAAACCAAATCACTGACTTGGAAATATGCCCTGCTTTGGATTTTTGTGTAGAGAGATTATTAGGCACTTGTGGCTTTTTGGGATAGCAAGAAGGGATCCTTGTTAAAAACAACTGGATTTGCTTCCTTAGGACTTGTCTTTATCTCATGCTGTTTGTTAAAAAGTGTAAATAAAGCGTAACAAGTACTTCAAAAGATTTCCAGCCATCAACCAAAATGGCTATGTCCTTGGGGCCAAATGCCTAGAGTCAGCATGCTTGGTGTGTACAGAAGCCCATAGTTCAGAACAGTACACACTGTTTGCACAATCCAGCTGATTCAAATTAAACCCAGACAAATCAAGGTCATTTTAATTAGCCCAGAAAGGTTGCTGCATAACACTTTAATGGGGCAATGCTCACTTCCCCTCAAACACTCGCAGGACAGATTCTCTTGCACGTTACTATATTCTGGTCTCCCTGCTAAATCCGTACATAGCGTAAATAATGTCCAGAACGCTGCAGCCAGATTAACTACATGCACATCACAGTAGCACACCACTCGCTACTACACTGACTCCCACGTGATGGAAGCCAGGCATGCAATCTTGAACCACAAGGCTTAGAGAACTTGCAGGTCTTTCACATGGCCAATATACTGCTTCCTTATTCCTTTCGGCATGTTTTCAGTGACTGAGGCCAAAGTTGCTAGCAGTCCCATCTTGAGGGAAAAGGTTAATAAGCTTCTTGGTAAACCATAAGTTTGCAATGCTATGTGTGGCACGCAGGGCACACTTATTCCCTAAGCTCTGAACTCAGGGGGTTTCTTCTTTTTAGTTCTCCTCCTCCTTTCCCCCATATTCTAGCAACTCCACCTCTGAAAGGCCTTGAATTTGAGCTCTTTTGGGACAATCCTGGAGTCCAGAGAAATTCACTAGAGAGCAAAAGGGATGCGATGTAATAACCTTGGGACCAAAGGTTTCGAAGCACCTAAAGATACATAAGCACCTAGGTGCTTAACTCCCATTGATTTAAATAGGAGCTCATTAGGTGCCTATCTGTATCTTTAGGCACCTAAATACCTTTAAAAATCTGTCCCTTGCTGATCTGGGCGTGAAGGACCAAGTTCTGCTCCTCTCTGTAAGAGCAAGTTGTACTGGCAACAGCCCAGTGACATTCCTTGTACATTTCTTGAGTACTTGAGGCCTAAATCCTAAGAAGCACGCCTCCACCAACAGTTCCCACACTCAGTCACCTTATTCGACATCGCAGTACAGTATTTTCCTACATATGGAGTAAGAAAACGGCTCTCAGAGACAGTGGGGTGTTAACTGATGGCTGTTAGAATTAATTATAAATGACTCATTAAAAGGCCATCTCGCAGAGTTAATAACTTATGATACAAATGCACCTGGAGCAAGGAGGGATAACCACACCTACTTCAGAAAGTTACTAACTACACAACTCTTTTGCAGATTAGCTCATTTCCCCCAGTCAGAAACTGTTACAGTAGCAAATATGCTCACTGATGGACCAACTCAGAGAGGTTCACCAGAGGAGAGAGAAATATTCCACTCAGTTCCCCACCTAACACAAAGGCAGAGAATATACAGCAGTCTGGAGAAAAGCTTTACATCTCCTCCAAGACAGTCATGTCAGACCTTGGCTATGATCTTTCCAAGTGAGAACACTCTCTCAGACCTTCAAGTCACGACTCTACACACCAGCTCTGCAGGATTTCTATGCAAATCAATGCCACCATCTCCATCAACAGCCCTGCCATAAATAGAGTATGATAGCAGAGGGATTAACTTAGATTTAAAATACAGCACAGCAGCAGTTGCTATGTTGAGAGAGGGTAACTAGGAAATGCAGTAAACTCTCCCATTTTCCTGTATCCTTGGAACTCACACCTCAAAGTCACAAGGAGGGACAGCTGAGCAGTTTCGAGTTTTATTTCTCAGAGCCATACTTGATCTGTGTTGGCTGAAGTTACAAGGGAAGGTAGTGTATAGACCAAATCCATTATCTCCCCACTGTTGTCAACAGCAACTTGGCTTTTCAAAGGGTCTCCAGTAAACCTGGTGCATGGCAAATTTAGAGGACCATGACACCTCCCACCTCCCCCACTTTAGTACAAAGACAGACTCACCTTAAAATCTGTATTATTGATGTACTCAAACACCAAAGCTGGGGTCTTTGACTGCAAGAGAGAAAGATGAATGGTTTAGCCATCTTCCTGCAAGAGCAGTACCTTCTGCCCTTTCTGAGCCCCAGAATTTCCGACTGACAAAAAACACTTGCATTTACTTTCCTTCCCACAATCCCCGCTCTGCCACCGAAGTGCGCTGGAACAAACCATGCTTATTACCCAGACAGCAAGCACCAGCTAGGCATTTCCCACCACGCTTTCCCCCCTCCAGCTTGTTGATCACAGATAGCACAAGATGTTAGTGCACAGCAATGTGAAATGTATCTCCTCACAGCTGAGCGGATAAGTGAAATTGTATCATTCTCTTGCTAATACTTAGAACTTGCTAATCATTTTCTCTTGCAGTTGTCAATGAACTAGAAGGTCATGTGACCCCACCCAACAACCCCTTCCCTTATCCCCCAACCAACAAAGAATTTGTTCTGGGAAAGGGGCAAACGTAGCATCTAAACAACAAACCAGACCAAACAAGAGAAATATTATTTAGGAAGGAAAGAAGGTTTAGGTTGGATATTAGGAAAAACTTTTTCACTAGGAGGGTGGTGAAACACTGGAATGCGTTACCTAGGGAGGTGGTAGAATCTCCTTCCTTAGAAGTTTTTAAGGTCAGGCTTGACAAAGCCCTGGCTGGGATGATTTAATTGGGGATTGGTCCTGCTTTGAGCAGGGGGTTGGACTAGATGACCTCCTGAGGTCCCTTCCAACCCTGATATTCTATGATTCTAAGGAAGAGGAAATAAGCAGTAAGCTGTTAAGTAGGAAGACAACAAGATGTAACCAAGTGGGAGGATGAGCATCTGCTATCAATTCACCTGGACAAATCTTACCATTGTTTAAGCCACAAGTGGCCATGACACAGAGATGGCACGTGTGAGAGAGGCATGTTTGAGTCACCAAGCTTTCCCCCCCCACCAATCAATTCAAGAGGCATCATTAGATACAGAAAGGGAATCAAGGATTTTGGCGTACAGGGAAGATTACCAGGTCACCCAAATCAAGGTATTCTCAAAAGAACCTAAAAACCCAACACTGCTCTTCAGTGAGGGAAGATGTAAAAAGCAAGATGAAGGCTAAGATGACAAGACAACCAGCAACAAACAGGAGTTTTGCACTTGAAACATGTATTTCCATCAATTACCCCACAGACTACAGCTCAAGACAAGCCCAGCACACAAGATACCTCAGGACATACTGATACCTACCACTGGATCCTTGACAGTGTCAATCAGCTTAATAATGTTGGTGCCACCTCGCAGATTCTCCAGAATCTTAACCTCTCGTTTTATCTTCTTTTTCTTCACTGGCTTAAATACACAAAAGTGATTAGAAGTGAGACCCTTTCAGAAGATACCACCAGTTCTCATCCAGTGATTTATAGTGGACTGAACTACTTCCCTCCTCTTGGCGGAGGGCAAGTGAGAACACTCCTAACTGCAAGAAGGCAGCAGTTTTCAGAAAGGGCTGACATAGGGCAGACAGGCACCTCAAAACAGCCAATTCTCTGTTGTCAGGATGGGTTACTTTTCTGTTACATGCAATGGCAGAGCACTTTACAGACAAAACCAGCCACAAGTACTGTGGTCATCACCAAGTCTAAAAGCACTTGAAAACCACCCAACACGGAAAAGGTAACAGTTAGCTGTTATGCATTATTGCATTTATTATCACATGGTAAATATGGCGGACGCTGTACCACAGCCTGTGTTTACCGGTTTAACGCATGGTGTTTTAGTTCTACAGCTGTGCAGTTCTTATTTCTTCGGGAAGTAACTTATCTTGAGTCATCCTTCAGTTAGTTAATTTGCTGAAATTCCAGATATCAACATTGATGAAGCAGTTTAGACATTTAAGTGTATAATTACACACCATGTAATCCTTCAACTACCCCAGGGAGTGCGAACACGCAGTAAAACTGCACCTGGCGACAGGTTATTGCTTTTATACACACTTCAAAATATTCTTACAATTTTTTTTAAACTGTCGTAAACTTGTCTTCAAACATACACACTCCAAAAACCTCTTTTTGGGAGTAAACTTTATGAAGGAGGGTTCTTATCAAATAAAACGTTTTTTTCCCCAACCAGACTGATCAGCTGCCCATTCCATATAAAGATTCATAGATACTAAGGTCAGAAGGGACCATTATGATCATCTAGTCCGACCTCCTGCACAACACAGGCCACAGAATCTCACCTACCCACTCCTGCGAAAAACCTCTCACCTACGAAGTCCTCAAATCGTGGTTTAAAGACTTCAAGGAACAGAGAATCCTCCAGCAAGTGACCCGTGTCCCATGCTACAGAGGAAGGGGAAAAACCTCCAGGGCCTCTTCCAATCTGCCCTGGAGGAAAATTCCTTCCCGACCCCAAATATGGCAATCAGCTAAACCCTGAGCATATGGGCAAGATTCACCAGCCAGATACCCAGGAAAGAATTCTCTGTAGTAACTCAGATCCCACCCCATCTAACATCCCATCACAGGCCATTGAGCCTATTTACCATGAATATTTAAAGATCAATTAATTACCAAAATCATGTTATCCCATCATACCATCTCTTCCATAAACTTATCGAGTTTAATCTTAAAGCCAGACAGGTCTTTTGCCCCCACTGCTTCCCTTGGCAGGCTATCCCAAAACTTCACTCCTCTGATGGTTAGAAACCTTCGTCTAATTTCAAGTCTAAACTTCCCGATGACCAGCTTATAGCCATTTTTTCTTGTGTCCACATTGGTACTCAGCTTAAATAATTCTTCTCCCTCTCCGGTATTTATCCCTCTGATATATTTATAGAGGGCAATCATATCTCCCCTCAGCCTTCTTTTAGTTAGGCTAAACAATTTACATAACTCAGCATAAGGGGAGTTAACGTTGTTGACTCCCTATTCCTGCACCTGCTTGGAGGAAAAAGCAGCGCAGCAAGAAAGATTTTAAGACAATGGCTATGAACAATGGTTCATGGGCCACAAGTGATCTGCAGACGGAGCCATGGAGAACCACAGTGAGGTACTAAGAAAGGATTTAAGTTCATGAAAAGCACTCTCTCCTACTCACATACTGCTCTGTCCCCCCCAAAAAAAAAAAAAAAAAAAAAAAAAAAAAAAAAAAAAAAAAGGTTTGTAGAATGAGAAACTTTAGAGACTCACCATTGTAACATTGAATTGAAAAACGTTCCTTTTTCATTTTGGCTGCCTCCTGAAGCACTGAAAGTTAAAGATCCTTGAGAGGCTTTTAAAGTCTCTAAGAGCTTTCAATTTGAAAACAAAAGTCACAAAAACCCCTTACTCACAGGTATGAACACTAACCCCCCCATCAGATCCTGCCTATAAAGAGAAAAGGAGTACTTGTGGCACCTTAGAGACTAACCAATTTATTTGAGCATGAGCTTTCGTGAGCTACAGCTCACTTCATCAGATGTAAAAAGATGTATAAAGAGCATATCATAAACACAAACCAACGAACTCTCAGTAAACAGACTGCTCAAAAAGCAAGAAAGCCAAAGGAAAAAACTGAAGTTTCAGTTAACAGACTCCCATTAAATATGTTATATTTAAAATCTACATTAAGAAAACATTAAAGTGGGACTGTTAAGCACCCACAAATTAGGAGAAGAAAGTTAATATCACCTTAACTCTACCCCCTTGTGAATACACACTACTATACAGTTAGTCATGATCTCAAACTCTCTCTCAAATTAAGTCATTTTAGGCTTTTGGAAAGATAAAATTCCATACAGTAACTAGTCAATAGTCACACAGCCAGAACACTGTGGCCTGAACACCTTAGGGAGGATCTGGCCAGCTTTGCAAGATGTGCAGTGAACGAGGCAAAGGCTTCTGCGTAGCCCTTTAGTTCACTGTGAACCTACAGTAAATTTTGCAGTATGCAATTAAGTTTTAGATACAGGCGTGCTGCATATCCCACCTTCAAAGAGTTAAAATATCATCCTATCTTTACTGCACGTACACAGAGAAAGAGTCAGGTCTCAAGTCGGTCAAATCAAAACAAACCCCGTTTTCACCAGAATTCTCCAAAGCCACTATCCCCCAATAAGGGCTATTTCTCTACCAGATTATGTTTTGTTTTTACTCTCCAACCATTTTAGCTTTAGAGCTGTTCCGAAAACATTACAACTGCATTTATTTACATTACGGAGCAAGTATCTCCTCTCTCATATGCTCTCAAACACAGCTGAACCATTTTAACTCAAACTTTCCAAAACAGGTCATCTTCCAACAGACACCAAGGTTAGAAATTTTCCAACTCAAAGGTGAAAATTGCAGAAAAGATACAAACTACTGAAAACATGGGTTTACTATGGAAACAATTAAGCAAAGCCTCACAGATAACAGTTACTGAGGCTCCCATAACACATGAATTGCAGCACAAGATATAATGCAACCGTATAAAATTGCATCATGCCCATCAGTTACAAGAGTCAATCAGAGCCGTGGCCCATCACCACTCCCCAGTGTCCAATGGAGAGAGGACAATGGAAGGCAAGAGTCACACAGGTAGCAATGACAGAACTGAAACGTCTGTGGCAGCAGGGGAAGGGAACAGTCGCCTGTGTGTGTCATGGACCCAGCACTGTAATCAGTGAGGGAGGGTTGGTTGTTTTTTAAGCCACCAGGGAGAGGTTTCATTATGGAACTATAATTCTGTCCATATCAGAATGTAAACCTTCTAGCTTTGTTCCCGTGGTTTGATTATCACCAAAAGGCCAAGATGGAATTAAAGGCACATAGATAAATACAGTTACTGGATGCACACCCGGTGTTGCTAGTAACTGAAAGAACGAACTAGGTTGCCACTCCATCCTCAGCACTAGCCCATTAAACCTGGCCACCAACGAAGTCTCAGAACTCTGCGTGAGCTGCGCTGTCTCACACGCTGCAATATCTAGGCCCAGCCAGGAAGCTGAAGAGGCATCCTTAACTTGCCAAAAGGACAAAAATGATGCCATTTGAAGTGCTGTTGTAGTGGTGTTGGTTCCAGGATATTAGAGAGACAAAATGGATGAGGTAATATCTTTTATTGGACCAACTTCTGTTGGGGAGAGAGACGAGCTTTCAAGCTACACAGAGCTCTCCTTCGGCTCAAAAGCTCGTCTCCCACCCACAGAAATTGGGCCAAAAGAAGATATTACCTCACCCTCCCTGTCTCTCTCTCAAGGTGATGTCAGACAGTTAACGTCTGTATTTCATGCCCTAGTCTAACAGGGGGGAGGAGTAAAACCCACTTTCCCCTTCCACTGTACTAACTCCAAGGCCCTTAGCACCAGCCTGTAGGCAGAGGTACTGTGCTTCCTCCATCCTGAACATTTTAGTTCTTCATGACAGTAGCAATGACCGCTCCAGTTAATCATGAAGAAAGGTTTCTATTCTAACCCACTTTTCAATTACTCATACATGTCCCAGCGTTTTGCCTTTTGTCATGAAAATCTCCAGGCTTGGTCTCTGGCTGAAAGTGGTTTTTCTTCTTTTCAAAATGTGAGCAAAAAACTGGCCGCTCTTCCGATCAAAGAGAGTGACTAAAATCTTTGTAGCTGAAATGCCAGCAGGTAGACGAAGTCTGACAGGGTTATCGTTGTCATTAAAAAAATCGTTTTGAGAGCTCTAGCAATAACTGGATTCAACTTGACTGAGTTAGGGCCCTTTCAAAACTGCATGCAATGCATATGCAGTGTATTTTTACTGCTATGCTCATGAAGCATGTAGCTAAGGCCAGACAATACACACAGCTAACTCAGCCATGCATTTTACAAGGTGTGCATGGACAGAGGCAAGGGCAAACCTGAGCAGGTCCACCCCCACCCCCGACAGCCAGGAGCTTCTACAGCAGCTGACCTGTTAAGGAGCACAGGAGGTAAACCCTGCTCTCGTACTCCTTGGCAATGCCATAGCTGGGGTATACTATACTAATGTAAGCCTGCCCTGCTTAGCATTATTTAAAGTTAGATGGGAGAGGGCTCTCTGCTTGATACCTTATCAGATGATTGGCCCAGGGCCATTCTGCCAGTATTTAGCCAAACTGTCAGGATTATGGCATTTTTGTCTATCATTTCTCCTTTATAAAAAGAATGCTCTAGGAAGTTCCACTAAGTACTACATTAGGGGAATAGAAGGGTTGCACAGTTAATGTTCAAGGGTCAGGAGCAGCCAGCCTGAAGGTCACGTGTAACTTTCCCTCAACCCCCTTGTACACATGCATTATGGTCACGCTCTCAGACATCATACAGTTTTCTCCTACAACCTTAAATATCTGCGTACCCTCTGAGTGCCATGGTACTAGCCTCATAATGC